TGAGAGCAGGCTGCTAGCCGATTGGTTGACACTAAGCTACGTTAATATGGGCCGTGAGAAAATATGAACAAGGCTGAGTCAACAACCAATCACAGCAAAGTTAACGGGGCAAAATATGATTCGCAGATAGAGAACTCTATTTGTCAAGGAATCCCGAAACAACCAATCAGAAGCCTGCGTTTGTCTGCCTAACTTCTGATAAACAACCAATCAGATGACTGCGCTTGTCTATAATAATGTATGTGAAATATGTATAAATACGTGTTGATTTTCATAATAAAACGATCTGTTGCCTGGCCCTTGTCTTCTGTTGTTACATTAGTAGTAGTAATGTTTACCTGGTATCATAATTAGTTTAATTTTGCAAATATTCATTTGCTGACTGACTGACTGTATTCAACATAGAACTTTGCACAAATGTGCACCAGTTCCAGCTGTCATGCTCCATGTATCACAAAAAGCAAGAGAACAGAGTAAAAAGAGGTTCAAAACAGAGACGATAGACAGAAGTGTAGGAGAAAAGGGATAATAACATAGAAGATCAATAGAGTTTTACTGGGCATGACAGATCACAAAGAGTGAATGCATCTGAGCCATCATTGAAAACGATTATGAGCCATATCACCGATTGCCTTCAGCCAATGGTTCTTGCCGTCCCGATGACCCCAACCAGGAAGCCAGTCTACACCTCTCTGCATGGCTGGCTCAAACTAACCGCCAACGATTTCATGTACTGATTCCATGTTTCCGTTTTACCACTACCACAGGCGCTCTTCCAACCTGATCCATGCTTTGTCAGCCAGCGTTCCACATCGGTCGAGGAAAGCGATGGTCAAGCAGGCATGCGTAACACATGCCCTAACCATCTCAATCGATTCATCTGCTTCACAACCTCGTTGACTTATTTTTCCTTCCTACCTAGCACTCGACCATCTAACACACACACACACACACACACACACAAGAGATAGAACGCAGACCACCTATGATCAAAGACAGCTGACCTTTTCATGTTCGTTTGCACGGATATGATTTATCTTACGTCACTCCACGAACTGTCTTCAATTAGAGGACCAGTGAAAATCAGAGAGTACTGGGTAGATGTTTCGTTCCAGTTTGGAACCCTCCCATCAGTACACACCCGTGAACCGCACCCCCCCCCCCACCATTGAGGATAGAAACTAAGACCTTCAAGTTACGCGCAGAGCTCGTTGACTGGGTGTAATAATTAGTGAGAGAATTTTTAAAAATAAAACTGGATCACACGATCAATTAGTTTCACTGTGATTTAACTAGGCCACTTTTTGACAACAAATATTAAGAGAAAGTGAAGCCAGTAACCTAGTTTTGGACATATTCGAATTAATAAGCTTCCAAGCATGCATATATATATATATATATATATATATATATATATATAAGTTTCAAGTACATAACACGATTAAAACAAATATATGGAAATTGTAGCTATTCAAACTTTAACCCAATACACAGCATGAATAATCAAATAAGTGTCTCACAAACTAAACTAGCAAAAGTATAAAGATAAGTGATAAAAACAGAGAGAGTGCATTCACAAGGACACTAATCAACAATCAGAAAAAAAACACCTCACCTTATTGATTTTCAGACATATACGATATGCCGAACTGATGAACTTTGTAATCATTTTGACTACAATCAAGGAGTTGTAATGCTTCAGAGAATACTCGTCAAATGAGACTATTCTTCATACTAAGCGTAATGGACTGATCACCACTTAGCTTCCCCTTTAACAAGTTACACAACCAGAAAGTAGTGAGAAATGGAATGTGAAGGCTCCCTACAAGACATTTATAACACATGCCTGAGGTACTAAATTCAGTGGTCCAAGATGAACTCATTTATTGAAAGATGAGCCTTAGACATTGATGACGATACACGCACCATTGACTCAGAACTACCGGGTGTGGGTAACTCTACGGAGATGCATGGAGTCTCTGGATATCCTCAATTGCAAGGGGATATGCTTCACACGTTTAAGCAACAGATGCATACACTGAAGCCCTGCAAACTCAATCTTTGACGGCCGAATTAACATAGTGACAACGTCAGATACCGGTCAACTACAGGCTTCAGCCAATCGTTTAAGTGTGCTTAGCATACGTTAGATTAACATAAATTGATCTTTATATCATCAAATTTGATCCTGGTAGCTTACGTGTTACCACACACTAAAACAATATTGTCAGCATACTACATAAGGTCAACGTGCACCTCCTTCAGAAGTTTCGCTAGACTATTATGGATGACAAAGTTAGAAGAGAATGGTGAAAAATAACTCTGTTAAACATAGTAACGAGGTGATCTTAGCCAGAATATGACACTGAGTAGTTCAGATTCATCACATTCAGAAAAAGAAAAGTTTGAAAGATACAAAACTCAGTCGTAAATCAATGAAAAGAATAACTAACTGGCCAGTCTATTCAATAAAAACCTCTTACTACTAAGTATGCATTTCTGAACCAATGACAGAGCACACTTTTATGCTGCTGCACGCCAAATACGCTTAAATTTTTGAATTAAGGTAATAAATTTAGCTGATTGGCACTATTGACAATCTTACCTTTTTTCTTTATAATTCAGTAAACAATCAGTTCGACGTTTGTGAAATAAGAGGAAAGTAGCCGCGGTTATCATCATGTGAGACACTTGTGATGCCGCCTGGGCTCTTCAAACCTAAATAGTGCAGTAGGTAAACCTCAACTGGAAACTGTGTAACCGACTAGTTGAAAGAAGAACGCTTACACCAATGAGATAATAGTCAATTTCCTTCTCATTTAATTCACCATGTGTACATAACAGAGCTGATGCTTTCTATGCAAGCTTTAATGTGAATAGGTCTGTAATTATTTATCCACATTGCTATCTGGATTCAACAGAAAACTTGGCACTGAAGTGCAGCAGTTCGAGTTGCCACGTTCCAAATAGCACACAACGGTAGACAAGAAGATGAGATGAGAAGATGCTATGGTCAAATTAAAATATGACAAATAAAATTTCTAGTACTATTCGGTTTGAAAATTGCCTAGATAGCAGCACAAAGAATATGTAAATGAAAAATCAAATTGTTTGAATAAGGATAAAAGAGAAAAACTGGGCAACAGAAGAGATTTTTATGTTTTAAATAAACTCTCAACCACAATCAGAATTTATTAATGTCTGTTGAAAACTATTAAATGAACCAATGAAATATATGCTCGTTTGCATATTTAAACAAGTTACGGTAATTTTCACAAGTGATGGATCTTTAACAGCTTAAATTTGCTAACTAATATAAGGATTAATAGTCTCTGTCTGTTTTCGACACAGAACTTTGCACCCATGTGCAACAGTTCAAGTAGCCACACTCCCGCCTTGTAGCACACAAACCAAGAGAAGAAAGTACAAGAAAAGCATAATAGGGACAGTAAACAGAAATATGAGACAAAAAGAGTAGTAATATCGAAGACCAATATAGTTTTATTGGAAATCATAAGTCACAAGGAGTGGATGCATCTGAGCCAGCCATTGAGAACGATTTTGAGCCATATCACCAATTGTTTCCAACCATTGATTTTTACCGCCCCAAGGACCCCAACTGGTCACGAAGTCTACACCTTCCTATGTGGCCGACTTAAACTAACTGTTGTGGATTTCATTGACCGGTGAAGCCCTGTTTTAGTTTGACCACCGCTAGCTCTTTTCCAGCCTGACCCTATGTCAACTAATATTGCCCGTCAGTCGAGGAAGGCGATGACTAGGCGTGCATACGTAACACATATCCTAACCATCTCAGTCGATGTAATTTTACAGCCTAATCGATTGATTTCCCCTCGCGCTTACCTAACACTCGACCGATGCCTAACCTCAATATTGCTCACCTTATTATACCACTTAACACACACGGGAGATAGAACTCAGGCACCTATGATCGAAGACAGCTAATCTTTTCATGTCTCCTACTCTCAATGGACAGGTCTCACAGTCATAAAGGAGGACGAAGCGGAGTGTTAAGCAGTACACTCCCCCTTTTGTCGACAGCCAGTCGGATATCAAGTCTACGCCACAGACGGCATAAACTGGCATATGCGAAACTAGCCCTCTGTATCCGTGCTGAGATTTCGTCAGAGATCAACCCGTTGGGGCTGATGCAACTTCCCAATACAATAACAGTAAATTTTGTCTGACTAACTATCTTACAAATTGAGAACTTCACAGAAAAAATGGATCGCTATAGGTTGCAATACAAAAGTAGGGGAATAATTGTGATGGAACTCCAATGGATGAAGATATACGGGTGAGAACAAGCACGTGAAGATTAGTGAAACTTTTTCATAATCTAGAAGATATCAAAGAATCTATACCTTTGCGGCAGTATACAGTATTTTTATTCATGTCACAAAGAGTATTCCACCGTTGTTTCTTAGCATATTGAGGATCCTAGTTAGAGAAATCAACACTTCTCCGTGTGGCTTAAACTAAAAGTCAGTAAAATTCATGAATTATTTCTATATTTTGTTCTGATCAACTCTCTCATTTTCCTAAGAGCTAATCCTACTCTAGATAAAAGGATGGATGCAATACACTTTGGGGAAATGATTTGCAGGAAGGTAACTTTTCATTATCAAACGGAAATACACCTAAGATTGTTAAGTTGTGTAGATGATATGTTGTTAGGTATTGGGTCCCTGACATATTACTAAAGAGTGCCGCAGATGACATAAACCCGGAAGATCTTCAGTAGTTAACAGACTGCCACACAGCAAGGAGTTTATTTCACTTCTGATATAAATACACAGATAAATGAAACACTTCCGTACGCATAAACGCAACCGACGAAATCTTATACTCAGTCGTTATATGAAATTTTTGCATGACTCTATGTTTGTGTATGCGTATTAGAAGTATAAAGACAGAAATATAAATTTTTAAAAATCGCACAATAGCAACGACAACAACAAAAACAAAGAAAAGCCTACCCAATGAATGAACGCAAATCCAAATCATGTGATACAACTGTAGATGTTGGATAATGTCCAAATATAAATGTTTGATTACTGCCTTTTGCTTTATCGACTGACTCCAATAATTGCTCTTTGACATCCTGTAATGTTTATGCAAAGTAATAAAAAAGAAATAACATACAGGTAAGCCAGGAAAAAAGTTTTCGTCTTTCAAATACTATAATTATCATTAATTATCTGGCGGTATTTATTAATTGCGGTTCATTGATTCAAGTAATTGGCTTTTGAATATAATAATAATAATATAAGTATAATTCATAATATATATTGAGTAAATCTGTGACACGTAAAAATTTTCATGATACTACTTATTATTACTTATAAAATCCTCTTTTTAGTTAGGAACTAGCTAACTACACTTTTACAGAATACTGCAATTAAACAGAGACGAAGTTGAATATATTTATGGTGCAAATAATACGAGACAAAGTGCTGTTACTAATTTAAAAGCCATCTAGTAACACAATGCTGCCAACCATCACGTGCCACACACAAGCCAAGTCATCACCTTCATCAACGAGTAATGTTCGCTGACAGAGGATTTTGTTGTAACTTGAACTGCTACACTTATGTGCAAAGTTTCACATTGAACACTCAGTCAGTTAGTTAGTCAGCTACGCGATTCACAGAGATAGTGACAGTAATTGCACATGAAATCAATATTAAATTTGAATTTTCTAAGGCTGGTCAGAATTTCAAATATATTGATTACCAAACACCAATGACTTTGTCTGTTTTGGACCACTAAGTGTTTTGACTTTCAAGGAAGGAGAAAAATGTTTTTCTGAGAAATTATTTTGGTCAATAGAGCTTCTAAAATCTTTGGACCTATAATCATGTGTCACTGATGTAGAGATTTGGAACACTGAAAAATGGGAAAGTCAAAAAGATACCAAACACAACTGTAGATGTGTACCAACTACATGTCCATCTTCTGTTACATCCTGCAATACCAGTACCCGATACTTTGTTTTCTGCCTAAGGGTGATATCTTCTATTGAAAGGGATGTCTATCAAGTGTTGCTTTTTAATGAAAAAAAGACCAGTTGACACGAGTTTACGAGAAGTGTTCACACTATGTGGCATTCATTAACGACATCTCCCAACTTTTCTGTAGAGCTTAGTAACTGACACCCTAATAGATGCCTCTATGTCTTCATATGACTTCATAGGAATGAAATCTTTTATCGGGAATCTTCAAGTACAAAGAAAACAGTCTCGATCTGAAATTCTCAACAAGACGTATTTCTCCAAGTTCTTCAACTGATAACTTTGGAATATTCGAAACGGCGGAAGTCATTTAAAGCATAATTTGTCCCCTAATCACCCTTACTGGAGTACTTTGTTACTATTGTCAGATAGTTCAAAGTAAGAATTAAAATTCACTTTTGCAATACAATAACCTGTTTACTCACTATGATTCTATGTAAAAATTGTTTTCTCGTTTCAGGTACGAGTAACAGTCGTTTTTTATCATTAAGCAACAGGATGATAAAGAGTAATAGTTAATAAGTCTTACACAATTATAAAAAATATCAGAAACAATAAAGTTCAGACAGTGACCACACCTAGTGAATTAAAAGATAGTACACTTAACGAGTTATGTGTCAGGATACTGCTATATCAATATCATACAAAAGTGAAACAACTAAGCACGGTCATGGTGTAATTGATAAAAATATTTGTAAATGACTTTTAGCTTACCAAATTAACATAACCGAAAAAATTCAGCGGCCACTTAATTCCAGGTTCAAAGCTCATATCAATACTGACGAATGAATACTGACCATATGGTTTCAACAATTTGTACATATACGATCTTTTCGGTGGTGTACCCCGGACACCATACTGACTGGAAGAATAAAGATTATTGATACGTTTATTTTTAAACCACGACGAAATAATACTGATAATCCTAGTATCTTAAGTAAATTACCTACTATCATGAAAACATCTGTGCTAAAACATTGGGAATGTAGTGAACCAGTCAATGAGGTACACTTCAAACACCAATTCAATGATTTCAGACAATTTGAGAAACTCTTGTTGGACAAACATTACCAGGGTTTCTTTTCAACTCAACACATAAATACAAAATGTACGATATATGAATAGTTGTCACACCTGAAAAATTATACAACAATAAAAATAGTCATTTAGTATAGTACTATCCAACTATACTTAATAATCTAGTAGAGCATATTAATGATATCATGAACTAGTCTGTTATCGCTGACCGAAGACTATACCACTAGTGATCTTTTCAGATAGAAGACCATAGGTGAGAGATAATAGGAAAGTGGCATAATCCGCTTTTTACATTCCCTACGTTCTGAGTGGAACGTACGGCTACATGCGTTAAAGATTCAGTGACGATGTTATTTCTACGATGTGGGATCCCTAATCGGACGCCCAACATTCCTTCTTACCAGTAAACTAGGCATGGTTTAGGAGTGTCAACTGGGAAACGAACCCAAGTACCTGCGGGGATGCATTATACCACTGTGCGCCGGTGGCACAGTGGTTAGGACTCTCGCCGACCATGCACATGGTCCGGGGTTCGAGCCCACGCCGGCGCACACCTGATATCTATGGTCGGCCTGCAAAATTTGGGCTACCGATATCCATGCTGAAAATTCCATACTTGTACCAAAAATACAGTGTGGAATCAAGCTGTAAATCAAAAATCAAAAAATCAAAAACGAACCCAAGTACCTGCGGGGATGCATTATACCACTGGGTCACCAACGTACTTATATATGTGAAAAATAAAGACTTTTGTTGCATTCTAAAGGGCAACAAAGAAACCCATAATATTAGTTTTACAATACAAAAAAGGAAAAGAGAAAGAATTAAGTGGTACTACCACAAATGACAGATGCATCTTTTTCACAACAGAAAATCAGGGACCAATTAAGAGTCTCCATTATTATTTTGAAAATTAGATTAGTATTGTCTTAATAATCTCATGTCGACAATTAACACAATCATAAATCTAATTTTTCCAAACACAACTGACGCTGTGGAAGTAAACAATACACGAGTCGTAACTTAGGAATGTTTGAAGGCTGCTTACACAAGTTCATAGGTGGACAAAACAAGTATTTTAGCAGTAAATCCGACGAATCAGTTGTTAATACTGCATCTCTGTGGTAATTAAAATTGATTTATCTAATATGGAATTACATTCTACCACAGTGCCCAAGTTCTACACCTACATTAATTCAAGTAAAGTAACTACTTCCATTTAGTAATATTAGTTGTTTAATTTACTGTTATATTTCTGACTGTTACACAGCTTTTCCCCTGTTTTCCTAAATGAATTCTAATGGACAGTATGTTTCATTTAAACGGAATTGGTCATATTCATTAAAACATAAGACGAAGAAATTTCTCTATGTAACCATTCAAATTTCACAGTAGTACAATTTCATTTCTGTACAGATTAGTTAATCATAAATGTTAGGAATTTCGAATTGCGTATCTTCGAATAGTGCAGAAGTCAGCTAAAAGTGATTACTTTTAGTGTTAAATGAAGCAATAATGATCATAAGTATTTTGACTGGACTGTGAACAAGAACTTAATATATTCAATGATAACAAAGTGCTTTCCTTGAGAAGAGATATGCCACAGTAAGAATAACGTAAACACAAGTGTACATATCCACAGTGCACCAGAAGCAAGAAACATGGACATCTCAGTGCAACTACCTCCTGTGTATTCAAGACAACTAAGGAATTGGAAATGCTAGCGCGTTTTTGTTCCATCATCCGTCCATAACCTTGGAAGCCTTAGTGTCGTAATGCTTCATGACAAGTGCAGCACAGTTTTCACATATCCTCCTTACTAGCGAGGCAGATGGTAAGTCAGATATCGCAGTGGTTGATACATATATATATATATATATATATATATATATATATATATATATATAACCCAAGAAGGCAAGACTTGGTAACGGACTTTTATATTGACGAAAATCACACCATATTTATACGATTTTAGCCACACTTATGATTGGCAAGTTAAGATGGTAACAAACTGTCCTGACAGATTGTTGATAATCTGAAGGCTTAACCTTAAGACAAAAAGCTGCCTATGATGATAAACCTGTTCTGTGGTGACAAACTAAAATATTGCATTATAGTCCTTTCCGATTTTCTAGAAAACCATAAATTCAATCAAGCCGATAGTCTGAAACAGCATTTCATATGAAACTCATGTAAATCGACAGCAAACGAGCTGTAAGATGATTTTTATTTCAGTAAAGAATGAGAGCAGAAAACACAACTACATCATCAATACACATCTGAAAAGCGAAAATAAAGTAACACATCGGTATATATGACCTGACATTTAGGAATCCATTTCCCAATGAGAAGAGTCACGCCATCAAAAACAATCATTTTTAAAGAATCGCTCAACACTTGGAAATCTAAGGAATGCAATTCTGAGTATTAAATCTTCGCAGAAAAGGAGTAACAGTATGACTTTTATATGGCAACTTCGGTGTATCCAGTGAAAAAATGAAGTCCAGTAGCTCGTGGTGAATCATTATGCAATGTCATAACTGAGAGTATGTATCGGTGACACGCACAAAGCATTTCGTCCTTAGACTATTCAAGATACACACATTAATATACATATAAGTATACATAAAAATGCTTGCAAATATTTTACCACTTACTTGAAGTAAGAGTGACCCGAAGAAGGAACATTAAAAGCATCTAAAAAGAATTAAAAAGCAGCAACTATATCTAACCATGGTTCCCGCGAATATCAAACCATTTAGTTATATCCAAAACTCCACTCCTTTCAAGGACCGACCTGTAACTCTTCCACTCTTCAGCATGCTGAGATGACCCAGGCAAAATTAGATTTTTTGCATCAGTGATATCACCTAAGCCATAGGAATGAGTGAAAAGATAACTAACCAGATGCAAGAACTAACTCTGGCCGAATAACAGGAATATAAGTCGAAAGTAAATCAAGAAGGTCCTCTTCTCTGTCTATGTGGCCAAACTTACTGAAATGTAAGTCAGTAATCTGAAAGAAGAAAATAAAATAGAAAGTGCCAGCAACCTGCATGAACCATAATACATTATGGTTTTCAGAAGTGGATGCGACGTTATGCGCGACTGAAAATTTCGAGTTGGAGCTGCCCAGTAAGATGCAGAATAATGTGTATGTGGCTACTGTTATGAATAGCGACATATCCTAGGGGCAGAGACTACTCAAGAAACCCCCCAGATGCAACAATCGACCTTGAAATCAAACCCTCCGCTATTTCCTAAAGACGGCGACTCGTTAAGGAAAAGAAAATAACAACTGAAATTGAAATAAGATTCGTTTTAAACTCCGAGTGCATATTTATGCATAATATACATATGGCTACTCGGGATGAACATTCCAGGAGAATAAACTTTATAAATGTACTACTTTCATCTACATTAGGTTCCTTTATGTGTGTGCAAGATAGCCACACTACCAGAGGAAAAATAAAGGTACGTTTTGAATGAGTTTTTACACTGTTACATAAAATTTTATGCACATTTGACGTTCACCATGAATTAGGAATTTAATTGGCAGGCTGTTCCCATATTTTAAAGGAGTTACGCTGAATGTATTTGAAGAGAGTTTTGCATTCTTAAATGACGGTAGTGGCCTGATGGTCGTGATATATGTCTGTAAGTCGTTAAGGCTGTGAGGTAGAAGTTTAATTAGAATATTGAACCATGCATGGTTTGAATTTTTACTCAAATTAAATCAATTGCCGAACGTGATAAATCAATAAACTTTACTTTTTTAAAATTTTATTCACTTGCATTCCCAGCGGAACTTAGAACTTCAAGCTTTGAGCTTGTTGTTGTTGTTGTTGTGTTATCCTTTTTCATAAGGTGGAGCTTCTGTCCTCACTCTCAGCCGGGCCAAACAGACGCAAAGCAACGTTTGACTTATTAGACCAAGATTGTCTCACCGTTCCAGATGCTCCTGCTTCCACATTCCTTCCATAAAACAGAGGTCATATGTATCATAAAGATCGCTCAAGCGAGTCTTCTACAATTGTATGAGTGAATTCATCAGGCCTCTCCAACATAACCGATGAAAGATCGGACAAAACTTATGATGGATAGGAATTAATTTCGGTAGCTCTGAAGGAATTCGCAAGTGTCGACTAAACTGAACTGATACTGAAAGGACTGTAGAATGTCACAGGCTATGAGCAGTCAGAAATTGCAAGCAAATGAGATATTCTGAAGGTCAGGATAAGCCACCAGCTGGGAACTATAGCTTCTTTGTGACTTGTGAGGCTTTCTTTGTCTATTAAATGATGAATGGCCTTACATGTGTTTGATTAGATATTACTCACTTCACTTACCATCTGCTATGCTTTCGAAAATAAAGGCCGAAAAACAACATCGCGAGCTGTCTATCGGTAATTCGAACAATTACTCCAATAGAATATTTGGCTTCTAAAGGTGATGTGCCAGGACATGGTCTCATTACGAATTTTAGTTTGGTTTAGGCTTTTGCGCTGCGGTTTCACACCTAAATCTTACACCATTATTTTTACTTCACCCTTACTGCCATCTTGATCTTGCATTTAACCTAAGTGAATAAAGGAGACTATAGCCTGTGTAATTTTAACTTCGGCTGCAGTTGTTGGATCCTTTTTTAAAGGAAGGGGATAAATTCTGTCACTCATCTTAGTTTCAGTGTTGGTGCGGGAGGAAGTAACACCCCTATCTATCTGCTACTAGCCCTCATTCTGGATAGATACTTGAATCAAACACACTGGTTGTCTGTTTAAGTAGGCAGCAACTGCACATTCAGTAGCTGTAGCAGGATAAAATTATAGCTCGAAATTGATGTGGCGAATACTTGGGGGAGATTGGAAGTAACACTAGTATATTTCAACAGCCCTTATGGTCCAAAGAAAATATTGCAGTATCATCATTACCTGGAGGGCTGATTAATGGGACTTTGATTACCTCTAAAATTATGTGAAACAACCAGGTTCCACGGGAAGTGGCAATCAGTAACGCTGAGGTGGATGTTATTAAGGGCGCTTTATATTGTAAGTTGCTTCATGAAAGTAAGAAGTAGGTCTTAGATGCAGAACAATATCAGGTGTATTAGTGTCTCCTGAAGACGGGTACTCATAGTACGAGGCTTTTGAATGGCACAAGTCACATGCAAACACCAATTTGAGTCAGCCGCTGGTGATCAGGGGACAGAGGGTGGTCGGAAGTGTTCCCAATAAGAAACAATATCCTCTTTGTGCTATGTAAGTTTCTTATCCTCCAGGGAACTGTACTAAATGGCTGTGACTATTGCATCTCAGACTCAGCCTCACTGGTTGATTTCCCACCAACGTATTTAGGAATATAGCATATGCTACCCTCTCAGTTAAAAACGGATTGCTGGCCAGCTGCTTTGTGATACACTTGAAAAGAGAATTGATTCGAAAGTTTGTAAGCCTGACATGGGTTGGTTATGTGAATATCTACCACTAACGTGATTTTAAAATACCTCCCAATTCTGAAGAGGAGTATCAGTTTTTAAATTAGACCAGGTTCTACAAATGTATTCGTCAAGGTGATCAAAGTTGAGTTCTTCTTGTGACCCATTTATTGCTTTTATCCGGTTTTCCAGCAAGACGATTGGCAAACACCTACCAGGAAAAAAGGGAGTTATAAAAACAAATAATTTTTACTCCATACATAACCCTAGCCCCAACTTAGTCCTTATCTTAAACCAAACTCTAATCATAACCCTATTGGTAACCGTAACATTAAGGAGCCGCCAACACATTGTTCAAATAATACCAAAAATGAGCCAGGGATAAAGTTTGCTCCTGACTCTGTGAACAGCATTCATGTTGGCACTCTATTAATGCTACGTGACGTTATCCAACAAGTGGTGTGGGTTGAAAGTCATTGGTGCATTCACATTTCTGAATAGCGTTATTTTAACCCAGCCTGCTCGAAATGCAAGACGTATTTCGAGATCAGAAGCACAGAGCAGTTGCAATTGCGAAATCTGCCATGGCTTGTGCATGAATAATCGAACGTAGACAACAGTGTGACGGATAGTGTAGATGCTGGACGTCTTAACCGAATTTTCTCGCATATGAAGAACTCACAGTCACAACCTGAAACATAGAACACGGACAAAGACAGGTAACGAAAGTTTGTGGATAAATTCCGCAACTGAATTAAAGAACACAGGGAATCGCAGTTCATTTTAACATTCCCTAAATTTTGAGTGACTCAACCCTTTCAACTCAATTCATTAGAGTGATTTAGAATTCTGCGATGCAGCACAACTACAGGTTGGCCTCCGTGGGAACTGATATATAGCTATAATCCCCCTGAGTTCCAAGTGGTTCACAGGGCCTCAAAAATATGTCTCAACTTTTTTCTGTTTTCCTTTGTTATCTGTAGCTGGGTCCAGTATTCCCCGTAGTCTATTACATCCTCCTCGCCACGCGATCCCCTCAATGTCACTCTCGCACCGACTTCCCACTGGTTGTTCCCCATTAGGTTTCCACTCAAGCATTTTTGCTATGCCATCCGATGGCCTCCTCAACATGTGCGCGATCCGTCTCCATTTTCTCCTATATGTTTTTGAGTGATAGACTCGTGCTTGGTTTGATCCCATAGTTACTTGTCGCTAATTCTTTCTGGTCGGCCGTCTATTTGATCTTCAGCACTCATCCAAAAATGCAATTGTTGGTACAAGTCTGTTTTAGCCTGCTGGAAATCCTTTTCGTGACTCGCCATGTTTCTGACCCAAAAAAAAGAAATGACTGACTTCATATTTGTGTTGAAGGTCAGAAGTTTTTTCTTCACGCTCACTTAGTGCAGAAGATTTGCACTGATTCGATTTAAGGTTGATGAAGTTGTATCCCGCCTTCGGTATTTCGGGCTGTCTTTGACATCTTCATCCGTTCCGACTACCTGCGGCTGAAACGATGCTTCTTGGATAAGTGCAGTAAGTGACCTCTGTCAAATCTTTCCCGTTGATGATGACATATCCTGGTTGTTGTTGCCTTTGCCGTTCAGCGGTTATCTTCACCACCCTCGTCTGCTCTGTGTTCGTCTGGAGTCCTGTCTTGGACGCCTGCTACTTCAGCTAGTTTGTTGGTTTTAGCCTGCGATTATTCGAATTTGTGTGACATCAAACATAAATCATCCACAAGAGAAATCCAGACCTTCTAGAGTCTTGCTGTCAACCCAACGTATTCCCATCTTCTCACCAACAAGCATAGTTTGCCACAATTAGCAGTATCACCGGTGATAATAGGCAGTTCAAACTTCGAATGCCTCGCTGAGTTTTCCGCAGTGGATCACCCGACACGTATCATTGTCATATAGCTAGCTGTTGAATGAGGTTGAGAGAGATTTGGGCACTTTACTCCATGATGTTGAAGTGACTCCAAATTACTTCCCAGCCAACACTGTCAAAGGCCTTTTCAAAGTTGGCGGAGTTAAGGTTTAGGTATCATAACCATTCTATGCTGCCATTCTGTAGAAGGAAATATGTGAATACATTTTCAAAGACCACTTTAGGTTTACAAGCGAAAATATCGAACAAAACACTTTAGGTTTTCGCCAACTGTTAGTATTTGATCACAGTTTGTGTCCCATAGAAATCAGCACCATTTTCTGGTTAAACTTAACGACGCACTCAGTCGGTTTCCATGACTGCGGTCTGACTACTTGATTATTTGTTGACCGGGAAAAACTTCCACACATAGTTGCTTCAGCGGTTGAAGCATTCAATTAACTTAGAGAACCTCCAGGCTCGGAAAAGGGAGTATTACATGACGTTGTTTACTATTTTTACTGTTTTGTAAGAGAATTGAGGAACGACTTCTCCACTGTGCAGTAGTCTAGGAAACCGGGAACTTAGCCTACTGAATGATTCCAAACTCGTTTCTAGTTAGTTCCGACCAGATATAACTCTCATGATTGATGTGTGGCTAAATTTTCCGCTAGATCTGAGCTGTGTTTTTTCATTACAGCAATCAAACTTTAAGTCAGCGAAGAATTTGGATCAAAGAGTAAGTTTTGGATTTATTAAACGCTTATGGAGTCAAGATCAAACACAGCATAATAGTACTCAGATAAGAGCATTATCTTGGGCTATATAAATTACATTTCAGAGAGAGGTGGCTTGAAAGGTTAGAACCTGTAGGATATGTTGAC